CCCCCCCACCCTGTCAACACTCCTTACCTGGACCAGTGCTCGGCAGAAACGTCGGGCGTTGCGTAGGACAGTGGAGGCCTCGGTCGTGGCTAAGGCGTGCAGCAGCCGGGACGCGGCGAGGCCGAGAGACGGGCGGATGACGCTCAGGGCGCCGTGCGAGAGTGCTCCCTGGGCCACGGGGATGAAGACCTGTGTGTGCATGTCAACGGCAGGCGGCGGCGGTGGCGCAAGTGAGAGGCAGACAGACCACGCGACGGGGGCACCCGAAAAGCAGTCGGCAGCGGACAACCCGTCGTCTAACGCAAATGTGGCGTGTCGTTGCGTGGCTGCTCTTGCCTCCATCGTCTCCGCTGGTTCTTTCTATCTCCCCCTCTCTCTCGCTGTTTCGCACACGCATCCCTCTCCACGCTCGACGCCTCCACCCCCTCCCAAAACAATCCTCTCTTCTGAACCCTAACCTTCTACCACCTGGCTGCTCACTCCCCCGCGCGCGACCTGCTTCTCTAAACTCACCTGGGGGCCTTGGCCTTTCACCACGGAAGAAACCATGCGCTGAACCCTCTCCACCAGCGCAAGGATAAGGCCAACCGGGACGGCCACCGGCCTGCCGTTCGAATCTCCTGTCAGCATCAGCTCCAGCACGTGGCAAAGGCCCTGAAATATCAGGCAGGCAAAGCACGCGCAAGCGGCGGGCGGCAACCCGAGAGAAAACAAACAATGGCGACACGCGAGTGAGTGCAGGAACACAATTCTGCGGCGGCGGCGGCGGCGGCGGATATGATACGGTGGAGTGAAAGCACAGCGAAGATGACACCAAGCTAAGATGATACAACAGTAGCCCAGGCCGAGGCAACGGCAAACGAGGCGGCGGCGGCGGCGGCGGCNGGCTTCGCGGGGAGAACGCGGGCGCCGGCCGCCCTGTACCGGAGTCTACCCTCCTGCACAAAAACAAAACACACACACTCACACCCAGTTAATGGCATTTAAAGGTGTTGTGTGCTTTCAACCTGACGGCGTTTCATTGGTCAGCCGGTTAGCGCTGTCGATGCTAACAATCAAGACCCAACACACAAAGTCTGACCTTGAAGCGCCTCGAGACGAGCGACGCCAACACCTGCTGCGGGCCGCTGAATCCCTCCCCGGCCCTTCCCCCGAGGGGAGGAAGTAACCCCGCCCCCGAGCTAAGAGCCGCGTCCAACTGCGAGGGGCTCATGCTGTCGCTGGTGCCCATGTCCACGTCGTTGTCGGGCCACGCCGCGTGAAGGAGGCTACGCCAGGGAAAGGGTGTAGCGGCGGAATGGACGAGAGGGAAGGAAGGAGGGAGGGAGGGAGAGCGCTCAAGGATCTCGCTGAACCGTGAACCGCTTTATGCCATTGGAGAACGGCCAGCGGTATCGAGAACGAGAGCCCGTGCCGACTCTTTCCTACGCAAGAGGGAAGGGACAGCGGACTCGCAGGCACTAAAGCCAGACGGCAACCACCCTCAGCTTCCAACCTTTACCTTACACCATTATTTCATGCCCAAGGCACAAAAGAACAAAGCAAAACGTCCCAGACGTGTGTGTGTGCAGCTACCACCCCGAACGAACAAGAGGGAAACGCCACCATCATCATCATTCGTCCACGTGCCCCTTTTCCCGCGCTCCACCATCCTTGTTGCCTGGAAACTTGACAGCCGCTACCCCTTGGGGGGGGGGGGGGGGGNGGGGGGGGGGGGGGGGGGGGGCACAGTCAAACGCACGACCACAACCACAACATGAACAACAACAAAAACGATGACGAGATTGTCGACTGACCCGTGCGCCTCGAGAGTAACCCTCCCCGCCGCCTGCGTCCACGCCTCCGCTTCCCCGCACAGCGGGAGAGAAGCCAGGACGGCGGCCGCTCGGTCTCGGATCACGTCGCTGGGACCCTGCAAAAACGATCCATCAATGACCAAGGAGAAAATTCCCGGCAAAATTCCGATTCGGCGGAACAACCAGCACGAAACTAAACCGCGCGTCAATAAAGGGAGATTCGATTCACCAAAGAACACGCGGCGCTAAGGCAGCGCAGTCGGGATAATCGTGGGTGGTTCGCACGGACGGGCAACGAGAGACCGAGGCATCCAGAGAGCCTTGCGTGCGTGTCGAGCTGCGGATCTGTCGAGAGCAGAGAACGTTTTCCACCGCTGTTGCGGATTTTCTACCTGGCCGGTGATTACAAGGCCGAAGTCGTTCTGCACGCATGTCCGGGGGAAGACGGAAAGAACCCACGCGAGAACGGAGGCGGCATTGGCGCTTCACACGCGGTTGCCTTGTACCAATTCTCCCGATAGGCGGTGTGATGGTCGAAAAACAGCTTGCCGCGGAATTTCCACAAGACTGCCGCTGTGGCCAGATCGTTGCGAAGACGGACGCCGTCCGCGCTCCGATAAAACAAGTCTTCTCTTGGAAACTGCTGCAAGGCCGTGGGAATACCGCTGACAGAAACAAGAATACCACCAATGCAAAACCCACACAAGAGAAAGAGGCAGACTAGAGAGCGCGTTCGCGCCGATTGTCCTGCTACAAGGCTCGACGGATTTTCAATGTCTAACCGGTTAGCGCTGTCGATCCCAGTGAACGAACGCCCCCCCCCCAAGGAACATACACACAACTTGGAAATGTTCGTGATTACTATCCCGCTTTGATTGGCGTCTTTTCATTGGTCAGCCGGTTAGCGCGGTCGATGCTAATAAGAACAAAACACGCATCCACACCTCATGGGTCAGCCGGCTAGCACGGTCGATGCTAGTTCAGAACACACACGACTACTATTTGCCACGGTATCTATCATTGATCTGGAGAGTAGCATAGACTCCCCCATGACGCTTCCTCACGGTGTCCTAGATCGTGGGAATTTTAGAAGCATGCTGTGTTTCCAACCGCACTGAGATTGGTCAGCCGGTTAGCGCGGTCGATGCTAACAAGAAAACACACACACACACACACACACACACACCTGCAGCCACGGCGCGGTCGCAGCCTCCACTTTCTTGACGTGAGGCCGCATCGTCGACCGCAGCAAGAAGACGAGCGCCTCCAGGACGCCGAGAGCGCCCGCCGCCACCGCCGGGGGTGGGGGTAAGGAAGAGGCCCCGTCGGCGCTTGTGGAGCCCTCCAGACAGGCCGTGACGGCTGGAACGAGCTTCGGCAGAAGGGCGATGACGGCCTTGTAGCGTGCGGCGGTGCAAGGGGAGGAAACGTGGACGTGAAAGAAGGTTGAGAGGAATACGGACGTGTGTGCATGAGACGGAGAGAGAGAGAGAGAGATTGAGAGAGATGTACACATCGAGAGAAGTGAGACGAAAAAGAGAAGGAGAAGAAGCTCTAACTCGGTCCCTACGGCATATGGTGTGGTACGACTTTAACATCAACACACCCGATGACCACAACCAGCAAGCCTTTAGGCAGGTTGTCAGCCCGGTTCGCGCAGCTGTGTAGACCCAAAAGAATGTACAAGTAGAGAACGGAAAAAAAGAAGCCGCCGCCGTCGCCAAGCCAGAGATAACCACTGCTGCAACACGACGAGGATGTTCACCAAGGTTACCTGTCGGCCAACCCCCTCCGCTTCCCCCCCGCCGCCAACCTTGCTCTTGCCCCCCCCCCCGCCGCCGCCGCCACCACCTCCGCCTCCGCCAGAGGGCACCGCTCTTCCCGCATCGTGGAGCAGACGTCGCACGGCTTCGTCTACCGCGGCAAGGGCCACGGCACGCGTCGTAGCATCGTTGGCGTCATCATTGTCACATCCGCCCGCCGCAGCTGCCCCGCCGCTACCCCCCCAGCCGCCGTGTGGTTGTTGTCGTTGCCGCAGGAGGCGCAGCAGCTCGCGAGCCAGGGAAGGGAACGCGGCCTCGAGCTCGACGGAGGGGCAGCAGCCGACGAGGCTCAGAAGGTGGCTCGCGTGCGTCAGGCCCGAAAGCTCCGGCACCGAGGGCTGTTGCTGTTTCTCCCCGCCACTCCTGCTCCTGCCACGACTGCTGTTGCTGTTACTGCTGTTGCCGCCGGTCTGTGGGTACGGGGTTGGGGATGAGAGTTTTCGGGCGTTGCAACACGCCAGGCGTTTTGCAAGTAGAGGGTCATCTTGTCGACACGGCGGTCATTCTGGTGTTGAAGGGTATAGGTAAAGAATGCCTTCTCCTTGCGAGATCTCCTGGGGGTTGTTCTTACACGCCACACGGCACGATCAGGGTAGCCGCATGTTGATTTTGATTTCCCGATGGACCTCGATAGTTCACACGTGTGTGCGTGTATTTTGGCGTGAGAGTTTTTCCACAAAGCATACCCTGTGCCCGCCAGAAAAAAAAAAGTAGTAGGTTCACCAACACAAAAAACGAGCTTTGGGGAAAAGTTTTTGCGTGTGAGGCTGATGAAGGTTCCCTCGAGATGGAAGCAGAGAAGCGTATCTTGCGGTCGACGAATCCAGCTGGCGAACACATGCGGCCTCCTCCTATGCATAGGACAGTGTGCCCCGAAATCGTAAAATAATCTCAACGTTCGTAGCGGCAGTGTGGGATGTGCTTGGCAGAGGGCAACAGGCTATGAATGTACAGCAGTACACAGAGAAACAAGAGCAGTCGCTATCAGAAACAAATAACGGGCAGCGACAGTCAGTCCTCCGTCGCCCCCCCTCCGCTCCTCGCACACACCTGCTGTTGGGTAGGCGCGATCACCTCTCGCCAGGCCCTTGCTTCTCTCACAGCCGCAAGCGGGCTCCGCGCGAAAGTCACCGCGGCCTCGAGGGCTTCCAAAGCGTCAACCGCGAAGTCCTGCGAAGTGGCATGCGCCGTACACGATAAAAGAGCAACAATTCTCCGTGAGCGTGTGCATGGCTAATTAAAGACACAGCAGCAGCATGAACGACGTCGCGGGCTGTGTGCTCCATTGCTATTCTGACAGTCCCGTCGTGTTTAAACCCTTATTGTTTGGGGTTTCACCGCAGTTGTCGCTGTCATCATCTATGGCGGCTGTCATGGGCCTCTCTGCTCTGGTCCTTACCTCGGTCATGCGTGAAGGAAGAGCCTGGAACGCATATTCTCCATCCCCTTTGCTGTCGAAGCCGGGAGCGGCAGTGAGTACCCAGTCAGCCAGCATTGCTGTAGAAGTAAACTGCCTGCTGCGACTGCTGCTGGCCAGCTAGCGTGCGCTGCGTCCAGCCCCTCACATGGCTCACATCGCGCTGGTGAATGATGTTGCGGAGCCCCCGGGCGGCGAATTGCCAAGTTGAGCACTCAGCACAGCACCGAGCTTGGTGTGCAGTGCGTGAGACAGCCACGCTCACCGACGCAGGATATGGCGAAGGTGACATTAAATCGCGCGGTCGCGGGTATGAAGGCTTCCAGCGACAGGACTGGTGGCGGCATTCCCTGGAGGACACGGGAAGGAGCTGGTAACGGCGACGAGGAGGCTGCGGAATGGGACAAGGAGCGTATCGTCCTCTCCAACGACTTCACGGCAGTCAAACTGCACCAGCTGGCCATCACCCTGAGGCCGCTGACCACCGGGGGGAGTGGGGGAAGACCAATGCTCACTGCTAGCCGTTGGGAGGTTCGAAAAGCGATCATGTCCCTGTGTCGCAGTCAGCCGACTATGTTTGAGGTAAGCTCTTCACTATGACAAATAAATACTGTCTGTACCCAAAGGTTGGCTGTTGTCGACGATTTTGCCTCCCCACTATGGGGCTTGGTTCGGTCACCTTGTGTTAGGTGTGCCGCACGTCCAGACTTCATGGGATTCGGGGAGAGAGAAAGAGGGCACCGCCGTGGCTAATGCCTCGCAGCACACAGTAGGAAGGCAGATCGGCCGCGGCCGCAGCAGCGCCGTATCTATTTATCGTCGGCTTCCCTACACACATATCCTCATGCCAACACCATCGGCATGTAGCCAGACGACGAACACATGTAAACCCTACTGGTATACGATACGTCGGCAAACCGTGCAGGATTGTCTCTGGCTGGGTGGTACACCCACTCTACAAGTACACTCTGTGTTTACGCGCGCTTCGATATCTTGCACCTGTGCCGTATGTCTGGCTCTCGTTGGACTTGACAGATCGAGGCGACCGACAAGTCGGCGTCGATCCGAGTAGCCTTTTCCGCGGCGGCGGACGCCGACGCCCTTTCCCGCTCGCTTCGAGGCGTCAGCGTCAAGATCAAGGGCGTCAAGCTGCACGCGTTCGTCAGGGTGAGTGTTCGCAGCAGAAGTAAGGATGTACCTATCGTACCTATGTCATCACGTACGAGAAGTTTCTTCCCGGCGTGCCCCGTGGAGGTGCCAACAAGCCCACCCGACCGACTCTTCGACCTTTCGCGAAGACGAGGGACTTGCAGCCGTCGGAAATATCAAGAATCGTTCCAAAGTTGTTTTCGTGTCCACCAGTGCAAACACTGGGCGTGCACACAGGAAGTTTTTTTCACGAGAGCTTTCATTCAAGGCGAAAATTATTTTTTCATGTCCATATCCGGGAAGCGGTCAACGAGACCCGCGAGCCTCGTTTTAGAAACATGACCCCGGGGACAAAACATTACCACCCCCGGGGTATCGTATAAAAAACGAGACTCCTGGGGACAAAACACAGCCATCCCCGGGGTATCGATTATTAAACAGACCCCCCGGGGACAGGAAACAGCCATACCCGGGTTTCCACACCAGAATTATTGCTACAAAAGGCAGCTATAGGCAGCAAGCAGCTGATGGGTGGAGCGCGGCGCCCAGGGATGCCTGGTCGGCGGGAACCCGGCACGGAACCCTCCGGCGTTGTAGGCGGGTGTGGGAAGCGTTCCCCGTTCTCCTTTTATTTTATTTTGATCGGTCTCCTCGACGCTCTTTCTCGTTTGGTGCGGTAGCTGGTCTTTCTTTCTATCATTTTGTTTCTCTTCCGAGTGGTTTTTGTACCCTATTTTTTTCTGTTTCTTCGTGGGGTCGTTTATGCCGGGTTTTGAGACCACGGGCTTCTTTTTTAGAGCTAATGTGAGAAACAACAACAACAACAACAACATCCACTTCGGTATGTTTTGGAGCGTTGCGGACAGTACCTCAACTGGGTAGGGAGCCTTTGATAGCAGCAAGCAGTATTGGACTGTGCGCGAGGGCAAGGCCGTTGCGGCCTGCTGCTCGGGAGTCTTCCCAAGTATGTGCAATGTCAAAAGAGCCAACGGCCGGTTGCGTGCCGGTTGCGTGCAGCGAGACAGCAGTCCAAACATAAAGTTAACAGCAGTGATGTTGTTGTAGAGCAAGCCTGAGGATGGATGAGGCTTGGACGGCTGGCACCGCCTGCCGATGCTTCGTGCTGATATTTTGTTCCGCTCCCGTCCGTGTGGTGCACATGGTCTATCGCCCTATCTACCTGTCTGTTTGATATCCACACGTACGTCGCGTTGCGGCAGCGATTCCGCCGCATGTATTCTTTGGGTGTTGCTGTGACCATGTTTTCGGCGATTCTTCTCCCAGGCACTCTTCCTCGTAGGCGAACCAAGGCCAAATGTCTAGTGCTGGTGGTACTAGTTGCCTACCTATATAGTTTATGTGCGCTCTCTCGCCACAAATCTCCCTCCGCCTGTGTGTGTCCGTGAAGCGGTAAGGTTCTACAACTTGATTGGACTGCTGTCTCGCTGCACACAACTCGCCGTTGGCTATTTTGGCATCGCACAAATTTGGGAAGACTCCCGAGCAGCAGGCAGCACGGCCTCGCCCTCGGACACAGTCCAACACTGCTTGATGCTATCAAAGGCTCCCTACCCAGTTGAGACTGTCCGCAACGCTCCAAAACACACCCAAGTGGATGTCTGGGCGCCGCGCCCCGTCCATAATAATTCTGGCGTGGAAACCCCGGGGGTGGCTGTGTCCTGTCCCCGGGGGTCTCGTCTAATAAACGATACCCCGGGGATGGCTGTGTTTTGTCCCCGGGGTCTCGTTTTTTAATCGATACCCCGGGGGTGGTAGTTGTTTGTCCCTGGGGTAAAGTTTTTACAACGAGGCTCGCGGGTCTCGTTTACCGCTTCCCGTCCACATCCAAGGGTACACGAAAAAAAAATCCTGGACCCACACTCCACTTTGTTCATTTTGGGCCGACCGAGGCGGGGGGAGGGTTGGGAAGGGGGGGGCTAGGGGGTAGTTCTCGATGTACTCTAAATCTATTAAACAACGACTCCACACTGATTCCTTTACATAGTCAACCAATAATTGTCTCAGTACTGCTGTAGTAGAGGTCTATAGCTAAATATTCTGGTACCTGCGGCGTAGTTTTACACTGTAGGCAAGTGACATGAATCTCCTGAGCCGGTGCCTCCGATACATGTACACACCTGATCCATCCCGTAGCCTCGGCAACGTATGTAGTCGAGCCAAGCACACCACAAGGAAAGCTTTGTCTGCGATGAAACCCAGGTGGTGAGCCTTGGGTGAGCTACAGAAGCAACTTCTGCTGTATATCGCTGCCTTGCTGTCTTTTTGGATAAACGCGGCGAGATTAGCTTTTGAATTTGAAACCGTAAGAAACGCGGCGATATTGACTGGGCGACCCATGATGACTAGGGGCAAGCAGGCGAGTGGAAGGGCACCTTATTGGGGGCGGGGGCAAGGCGGAGGAGGAGTACCAGCTTGCGAAGAATCGTCTGAGCATGTACCTTCGGGGTTGATTGCGCCATAAAACATGATAACCTGACTCTCACCGGGACTTGCTTGCCGGGACCGGAATAAATATTGTTGTGTGTTGGTGTGGACCACGTGGTGCTCTTGTGGTTGTCTTAAAAACCGTTCCGATCTCTAAGCCCAGTACTTTCGTCTGTCCATACTAATCTAACAGTAGACGCGGTCGATTCCCGCGGCCACAGACTTGGGCAATCTCAAATTAAAAGGAAGAGCCCGCAAGCCAATAAATATCAACGACAGAATATACATACTCGTAGTACAACCGGGGTCCTTCAACTCGTTTGAGCTGTTGGACCTCGGAATGTTTGCACGGTGGCGTGGAGGCTGTGTCGTCAACGTTAGTTGAGGTGACGACACGTGCGAAAGGGTAGCCTGGAAGACGAGAGTCCTTCCGCTGTGTGAAGAAGAGGTTGAGATATTGGAACACTGGCGCTTACTCGGCCAACACACACGGAGATAACCGCAGAGTATGCAGGATCTCAGACGATGGCTGCTGCCCAGAGATGACCAGTACAGCTATGATGCCATGGCAATCCGGAAGGATCACACGAGAGAGTGAGCTAGTCGGCCAGCAAGCAGAGAATCCAGCGGGAGCAATTCCTCCGCATACACGTACGTACGTTACATTCGAGCCGACGCATGTGAGATCTACGGTATACAACAGCAGGGTTACGCTACTGAACATGGACTTGTACTGGCTTGTGCTACCATTTCCATATCACAGGAGGTGTCGGAGTCGGCGGTGCTGAGCGAGGGGGAAGACTGGGCCGCTTCCACGTGGGGGTCCCGGGTGCTGTCAGCCGACACCGTCACTGGAAGGGAGGCGGCGTTCGACAGCCTCGAGCCCGGCAAACGACCGGACACCATCGTCCTGAGAGGGATCCCGGCGAACTGGCTGGGGAGCAGGGGGAAAGCGGCGGAAGGGACAGAGGCCCCGGTAAGAAGAGTTTGGCGCCGGCGGCGGTCAAGGACAACCCGGCGGGTGCGCACGCGCTAGAATCAAAGTCTTTTTTTGTTGTTGTTCGACGGTCACAGCAACTCCCCGCTTGTCCATACGGGATTGCCTGTCAAGACGCGAATTTCAAGCCCAACATGGCCTTGCTGTGCGTCGTTCGCTGTTTCACATCTTCCCGGTGACTGGCCGTCTTGATTCTTCGCTCTTTCGTCGTTTCTCACTACATATGGCCGCCGTCTATTCCCTTTCCGTTTCCCCCCCGGCGTCTCCTCTGGCACCCGTGCCCAACCCAACGTCCGAACTAAAATACTTACCAAAATCCCAGGGTCTCGAGGAAATCATGAGTAAGTTTGGCCCCGTACGGGCTGTGGAGGTCCAGCCCAGCGCTCCCAGTGACTCCTCCATCGACAGCAGCGATGCCGCCGCTGCGTTCGCCGGTGGCGGCGGCGGTGGCCAGAGGAGCAGCAAGAAGAGCGGGAGACCCTCAGCCGACTTCGACGTCAACGCGCTGCTCGAGAACATGCCCAAGCCAAGGGCTCTGGCCAAGGACAAGGGTGGTGCCAGCAAGGGGTCAGGCAGCAGGCCAGGCGGCAGGTCAGGCGGCAGCGGCAGCACTGGTCTCGGGCTGGACGGAGACATCCTCTCGGTGGGGCTGCACGTGGACGCGTGGGTGCAGTTCGCCTCTTTTTGGGGGTTCCAGGGGGCGCTGGAGGCGCTGCGGGCGAAGACGCTGCAGAAGGCGGGCGCGGAGCTGGTGTGCGAGTACCGCCTTGGCGTGGACGCGTCGGGTTTCATGACGGAGGACCAGCGGCGGGAGAGGGTGATAGCCCGGGCGGAGAAGGCACGGGAGGTGAGAGCTCGATGGACAGAGACATGGGTTAAGGGTTGAGGGACAAGGGACTTTGAGTGCAAAGTTTGCAAACACAGGTAGGAGGGGGAGAGGGGGAGGCAGCTGCGCGCCTGCGCATTCCTGGATGTTCCGTTTTTTTGTGGCTTCCAAATCAAAATACTTGAGGAAAATATACTTTGGACGGGTCGGGGCACGCACTGTTTGCGGTGCGGTGAAGTTGTTCATACCTTCACATGAAAAGCTGTTCCGACTTCTAAGTACACATATCGAGTACCATTCAGGCACTTTTCAAACAGCGCAGCGAGATTCCGTATTCCCAAGGCAGCACACGACAGAGGTGGCATACCTGTACAGTAGACATGTGGAACGGGACGAACAGAAGGCCCTCCGGAGAGCCACTCCCACCCGCTCTCGAAGAATCGCACGGCCGTGTGCGGAAAGAAGAAAAAGCAAGTCCCGAAGAAGAAAAAAGGAGGGTCTTGAATCTTCAAGAGGAAACCCATTGTTCCAGCTCGCAAGTCGAGTCACGGACAATGTATACGACGGGAGTCTACCGTAAGAGTCGGAGAGATAGCACCCCTCCCTGAACCGATTTTCAAAGCTCGATTGCTCCACGACCAAGATTGTCTGTACCGTACCGTGGTATTCCGTAAGAGTCGGAGAGATGGCACCCCCCCCCAGACCGACTTTCAAAGCTTGATTTATTCAGAACCAAGTTGGGCGCGTAAAGAGCCCGGTACGTCTACGGAAAGCCCTCGACGAGATGCTCCCAAAACTGCCATTTTTGGTGGTGGCACAATCTTGGTTGTGAAGCAAACGAGTTGTGGAAATCGGCTCAGGGGGGGTTGCCATCCCTCCGCCTCTTACGGTATGTTGGTGTCCTTGTGTTGATATCCTGCAGGAAAAGACCTGTTCCAGTGCCCTCATGAAGCTGGGGGTTATTCTTGGCCGGGCGGGTCTGTTTACGTGTCACCGACCAGGGCCAACCACCCTCCAAAGCTCGAGGGTGCTAGAACGGCTATTCACATCAAGACGAGAAGAGCGTTGAACGGGCAGGACGAACACATGCACGGGAAAATGAAGAAAAGGAAAACCTCTACTTCTCTCTCTCTCTCTCTCTCTCTCTCCGTCGTCGTGATACAGAGTCTTCCCCAGCATACCCTGTTAGTCGCTTCTGTAAGCACAATCAAGTGGTAGTATTGTATTAATTATCTAAGTGTTTTATGTTTTTTCAGGGTCGCGTTTCGCCACCTGCACTCGTTCACCTTGCAAAGGAATACGAATACACGTGTCTGGCGGCATGATCTTGCTGTGCAAAGTGTCGCGGTACGTCAATACGAGAGAGGGGTCAGCGACAGCGACACCGACACCAGCACCACGCGTTTACAACCGGTGCAAGCGCACGAACTCGCACATCAAACCAGCCTGCCTTCTGCATCCCGGCGCGAGCCATGGAACCTTTGTTGGTCGGAAAAAAACGCCCCGCTCCCAGTGGTAGTCGTGTGGTAGCATTTCATCGCCGACGCCTCGTTTCGCACCCGCTAATAGGAGGAGCGGCGCAAGGCTTCGATCGAGAAGGCGAGGGGCCAGCTCGCCCTCCTGCGGGAAGGGCTGCAGGGCCTCCGAGACGCGGTGGCGGAGGACGGCCGACCAGCTTTGGAAGACGCCACCAAGCCCACGCTGCAGAAGGTGCGTCTTTCTTAGTTCGTATCGACCGCACTGTACCGGCTGACCAATGAGAAGACCTCCGTCTTGTGGCTGGCGGGACATGAAAAAGTCGAACAATTTCTAGTCAAACGGTTCTTCCGACAGGGAGGGCGCAGGAGTTTGAAGACAGCAGTGTCCTGCTTCCTTTTGTGTATGTGTGTTTGTGCGCGTACGCACGTGTGGTGCTGTTGTCGTCGTCGTTGGTGCTGTCGTTGTTGCTGTTGCTGTTGCTGTTGCTGTTGCTGTTGTTTCTTTCGTCGTGGCTTTGTTTGTGGAAAAGATCCACCTCGGAAACGGAATGCTGTTCTTGCACCCGAAAGGTGTGCCGGAGCTGGTGGGGGCGATATTGGCCGTTTTAGCGGTACGTTTAAATATTCAAGGCCGTGCTGCAGGGTGGTCGTCATTTACTTCATTGAGGCTGCGACAAAAGAGGACCGCATTTTGTGTGTCCTCGTCTCCCCATGCAAACTCCAAACGTTGTTGTTGCTGCTGGTGCCGTCGGTTGCTGTAAGACTCATACAATGTGAGGGGGTGGGTGCGTTCGTCGTTGGACGGGTGATCCGATGGCAGACGAGGTTTAGACAGACAAGACAGACAGGTGGCCGAGAGGATTGATTCAGTTTTCGTGCCCTTGTGCGGCGGTCGGTTTGTCTACCCGCTCGGGAGACAGGCGCGCTTGATACAGACCCTCTCCACGCGCGTGCGTTACAGCAGCACGGCGGTTGCACAAGCGAAAGCCTTTGCAGACAGGATCCCGACACGCCATCAGCGGCTGCGATAATTGCCGGAGCGGTTGTCGTCGAAAAAATGCCTCCGGAGTTGGAAACCCTACTCCTGCTGCTGCTGTTGTTCCTGTCAATATTGCGTCCCCGACAAGTGTGTAGACCACCTTCATAAAGTTACTATCTCCCCAAAGTTCTGTTGAGGACGATTCCCTCTTTTTTCAATGGCGTCGACGAAGAGCTGTCACGGGGTCTGCTTTTGGTTGCGAAAAAACATGGGTTCAAGTCCCGGCGCTCGCCCATATTTTCTTCCGAAACAACGGATACAAAAGGAAAACCAAAACTGGAATTCTGCAGCTTTAGCTTCAGCTTCTCAGACCAATATCCGTGAAAGTTTCATTCGACTCCGCCACCCCTTGCCCGACCCGGCCCGAACGAAATGCTAATCTCGAGCTACAATGCGAATCTCGCGGGTTCTCGAGTATGGTTCGATGGGGAATCGCAGATCATGACCCCTCCCCGACTGCGAGGAGCCTCCGCTTCCTGTGGCCGACAAGTTGGCCTTGTCTGTGACGCACCCCGAACGAGGCGGTTGAACAAACGCAGATGGTCCGTCTGGGTGCATTACAATTATTTTAGTTTTTTTTTCTTGCGAGTGAGCGGGGCTTTCCATCTTTGCCACCTTGACGGTTTGTATCCCTCAGGCTGCTGTTTTCATGCACCACAGCGGGCATCGGAGGGATACGGTCTCTCTGTCAGTTAGTGTTGGACACCCGCACGGACAGCGAGCATCAATTATCGTTGCTCTCCTTTATTAGCATGTCTGTTCTGAAGATATCCACATCGCACAGTGTATATGCCGGCCTTTTTTTGTGGGTCTTCCGTGCGCGTGGTCTTTCTCGGCTTTTTGTGTGGGCGCTTTGAATTGATCAATGAGCAGTGAGTGTTTTCGGACCGTAAGTGAAGCAGGGTTTCCGGACCGCATGTCAACTGCCGCGATCGCTGCCCCAGGTCTTGCTGCAGTACATGGTTCGGTGGCGTGGTGTGCATCTACGCGGCTATACAGAGAGGTCTACGTCGAACGTTGACAAGTTGACAAGTTGTGCCACTGCCCGTCCCTCTTTACGTTGACAAGTTGACTGTGACCGGTCCCTCCGTCCATGCTCATAATTTTGTACCGTGTGTGTCGAACCTGCGAGAGAACCGCAAGACACCAACTGAGGACGCTTTCCATGTAATCACACAGAGTACAGTTGGTTGGGCCACCTCTACCGCGGAGGAAGTGCGTAATCATAGGCCTTCGCCCATAACTTTCCTTTGTCCTCTCTCCGTCCTTCCCATTTCCGGCTCTTGGAATACTTCCTTCCGTAGTGATTTTGTTTTCAAGGGTCCGCGAAGCGCATTCTCCGGTTTATTGCGATTGCCGCCCTTGCCGCTGCCGATTGTTCGAGAATACATGAGATGGCCTCGAGGAATGTTGCTCGCCAACATAAGAAGGAGTCCACGGCGGGCAAAGAACGTCCTCAATGTGTGTGTTTGTACACATATGTGCGACATAAGATTCGCGACCTCTGTACCTTCCCAAGTATTACAGTTCTCTACACGACCCCGCGAGCGTGATAATGAAGTACACGCGCCGACATACAGCCACGATATCGGTTCGACGAGACCCCTACCGCGTGACCGCAGGCGTCACCTTGTACCGCTGCTGACGGATCGCCGTCTGCCGGGTTGGCTCATGTCGTGCGGTATAGCCCAGTCCACCCTGTGTCGCCACCGTCATGGTAACCTCCTATCGTCGCCGCTCCCATCAACGGTGGTGCCGCTGCTCCGTTCGTGAGTGCGTGCGTCCCGGCCGTCCGCCGCCGCGGACAACACATGACTGCCGGTCCCCCTCTCGCCGCCGGTGTTGCTGCCAATGCTGCCGCTCCCGCCACGAGAGCCTGCTGCCGTCTTCCCCGCCGCCGCCTCCGCGGGGAAAACCCTGCCGCCGGGGGTCACCACTCTCGCCGCCGGTACTGATACCGATGGTACCGCTCTAGCCGCGAGTGCCTGCACCCCGGCCGTCCCGACGGCCGGCGTCGCGGTGAACACATTTCTGCCGGTGGTCCCCCTCTCGCCGCCGGTGCTGCTGCCGATGCTGGCGCTCCCGCCTCGAGCCTGCTGCCCGGCCGTCTTCCCCGCCGCCGCCGCCGCCGCGGGGAAAACCCTGCCGCCGGGGGTCACCACTCTCGCCGGCGGTACTGATACCGATGGTGCCGCGCCCTCCGCGAGTTCCTGCGCCCCGGCCGTCTCCCCCTGTCAGCCCGTCGGGGAGAACTACTTGAGGAGTACTTTCGTGCGATTCTTTCCCGTTTACTTCTTTATTGTAATCCTGTCATCGTAGGTTTTCTTCGGATTAGTTCTTTGGTCATCGTCGGCACCATGCAGTTGTTTCAGGGTCTTCATCGCGGTCTGGACGCCTTCATTCTTGAGTCACTTTGTTTTTGCTGTGTTCGTGCTCGAGCAGTTTCGGCTTCCCGTACAAAAAAGCAAGGAAAGCTTCAGACAGGCCACGGCGACGAAACTCGTCGAGGAGTTGCACATCAATTGAAGAATTACCAAAACTAAACACACCCAACCAACACCGTATGTAAATGTAAACCCTACCTTTGCTCTACTGCTGTTGTTTTTGCTGTCTGTTTTTCTTTCCCTCTGGACTCGCCGACGGTATGGGCGTGCGCCCGAAAACCCCGTCCACGTGCCCCCCCCCCCCCCCCCCCCCCCCCCCCCCCCCCCCCCCCCCCCCCCNCCCCCCCCCCCCCCCCCCACAGGTGACGGGCCACGTAGAGGGCGCCGAGGAGTTGCTCGGTGTCCGCGAGGCCTTGGTGGACGAGCCGGCGGCGACGGCCGCGGTCGCTCACGCCAGGGGGGAGGTAGCGATCGCGAGGCTGTCGGTCCGCAAGGCGAAGGCGGCCGTCGACAGGGCCGAGGAGGAGGAGAGGTGGGTGTGAGGAAACGGACGTGGTGTGTGCCTCGTATGCCGGCTTTGCGCAGAGGAAAAAAGCATTTCTATGGCGTATTTGTCGTGCATTCTCAATAAAATAAAGACAGGTTGGTACTGCTGCTTTCGTGTCGCCATGACTTAAGCTTGTGCTTTGTACCTGGTAAGAAAGAGTTTACTGGTGGTGTATTATCAGAAATCAAAACTGGCTGGTACACTACTGCTGCTTCCACGTCTAGTTGTGTTGCCGTGACTTAGGCTTGGAAGCCCTCGCGCTGGTGGCGGTAGTGGGGGGGGGTGCCGTGGGGAAAACGTGTGTTCATCTGGTGGGGGGTTCATCGTAGATACGAGCACATGTTCCGTCTGCTCTTATTCCTTTGTAACTGTCTCTCTCTTGTTTCCCCTTTTTCGTCGCCGTTGTCGGCCGGTGGTGTATCGTCTTCTTTTTGGTTCGTTTTTTCTAGCTGATACAGCCTCGTCGTTCGTCGTCGTCGTCGTCGTCGTCGTCGTCGTCGTCGTCGCTTCTTTTGCCCCTCGCTGTGCACACCACAAACCACCACGCCGCGCAGAATCCGCATCGAGCGGGAGAAGGACAGGGGGCTCCGCGACGCAGCCCGGGCGACGCTGGTACAGCTGAGAGAGTCCTTATCGCAGGGCCTCGCCTTGGTGGCGGCAGAGCGGCAGCACAGGGGCATCAAGCCGCAGGCGGACAGGGGTACGTGGAACATGTAGGAAAGCAAAGCCCCGCCTGCTTCGCTACAGCGCCTTGTTCTGTTGTTGTTTTTGTCAATTTCTCGCCGAGCGGGAAGGGACCGAGTTGGAAGGGGTTTACGCGCTCCACGTGCTTACACTGCTCGCTTCCTCGAAGCGTCCCTAAGGTCCTCCTTTGAAGGTGTTCGGTACTGCTTATCACGGTGAGCGCGGCACCGGTGTGGCGTTGTAGAAGTAAAGACAAAACTCTATGCGGTAAACCTTGTGTTTCGCATGCGCATCCCCGCGGTGGCTTTGGGCCCGGTGGGGGATCGTGACTCCTACACAGAAACAACACAAGAAAATCACCTTTCCACTTTCCACGTTACGTCTCGTGAGAATATTTTTCTGCAGTCCCTCCTCCGGCCGGAAAGGCTTCGCGGCAGTGTACGTCAGTTTTTTTGTCTCAAGTTTCCCCTTGGCCACCACAAAATGTATCGATCGCAGGGACAGGTCAGGGTGGAACAGCCCGTGGTTCCGGCGTTTTCCGTTCGAAAGCAAAGAAACCCCTTCTCCCTGGCTTCTTCGATGATGATTCGAGAAGTGTGTTGATCGACGAACGTCTTGGGAGGAGGTCATCAAGGGTGTCCTATCGTTCGACCCTGTTGGTTACTGGCACTCGAGGCATTGCGCCTCCGGTTGGGTGTGTTGCGCCGCCTTGCGCCGTGTCTCGCGCTATCCGTATCTCATCTCTCTGCCTTCGTCCGATCAAGGCAACAGCTCCTGGATGCTCTTCTTCCACGACTGCCCTTGTTTCTGCCCCCCCACCAAGCTGTTGACTGGACACAAAATATACACGCGTAAAATAGGCATCGATCAATGAACCGCTGTCGAAGATCGCCGCACTTTTGCATGTCTGTAAGACGGTTGTTGGCCGGAGGATGAGGCCAGGCGTTCCTACTCATTTCTGGTGCATGTTTGTTCGTTTCGCAGTTTTTTTTTTTGTGTGTGTGCGTATGTGTGTCGTTCTTGTTCCCATCACTCGTTTTCACGACAACTTTCGCGCGCTTGACACCCGATGAACAGCCGCCGCGCTGCTGGACGAGGTGTCGGAGGCTTGCTCGAAAGAAGGGGGTTCGGAAGCTTTCGGCGGTACGGCGGAAGGAGGCCTCGTGGCGGTGGCTAGGAAAGCCACCGAGACGACCATCACCAGGCGCGACAGATAAATGATAGATGCCATCCGTGTTAGATCCATGAGGGGAGGAGGAGTATCTGTTGCTGTATCCTAGTTCGTCTATTATGCCGCTACCCTTGGTTGTTGTTGATGTTGTTGCTCCTCATCGTCTCCTCCTACTGCATGCCACCTGTGATACTTCGAAGTGCTAGATTGTTCCCGATCTTGAATCTGCTGTGCGGCAGTGTGTAGAGCGCAAAAGTTTTGGATTTTTTCGCCAATGAGAGCACTTGGCGAACAGAAAAAAACAAGATTTAGAGGAGAAGACAAAAAGGCGGAAGAGCATTCAAAGCGACCGTTCTTGCGGAGCTGGCGTCTCAGCAATTTTTTGACCCTCATGCGCGGATGCTGCCCTTGGTCCGTCTCTGAGGGCAGGCCATTAAAAAAATATCGCGTCTGATTTGAGTTTCCATCGATCCCGTGTGGTTTGCTGTTTGACGGATACGGACAGAGTGTCGATTCAGCTTAGAGCGAGCGCGTTTTCAGAGGCGCGTCCCATCTTCCGCAACCATTATCACGCCGTTTGTTTTTCGGGCGTTGTTTCCCTCAGGTCTATTCCTCACCCTCACCCCCAAACCTAAACGATGAGACCTTCCTGTCCCCCGTCCCCTCCCTTTTTGCGATCCCTCCTTGTGGACCCTCCATTCCTCCCGCTCCTCCTTGTCGGTTTGATTACCACGATCACGGCGGTGGTGTCAACTATTCCTTTTTCTTTTGCTTCCCTGTGTGCGTGATCAAGCTGCTTGTTCGAGCGAAGAATTGGAAAACACGTAGAGTCCGCCTCGTCGTCGTACACTATCATGTGTTATTTCCCCCCCCTCTCGCCCGCACGCCCGCGTTTTGGGTGCTGTGCGTGTGAATCGTCGGAGGGGACCTAACAAGTTTCCAATCGAATGATGAACCAACCACTCACCAGAGCATGCATGCTCCAGCGCTACCTGGGCACGTGCGCGCGGTTGAAGGCTCTCAAGGCGACAATCGCCACCACCCTTGACCACCCGCCAGCTGATGGCGGCAGCGGCGTTGGCGGTAGCGGCGACAACGACAAGGGCAGCTTGTTGGCGGCGCAGGTTGAGGTGGCGGAGGCGGTCCTGTCGAGGGACCTGGAGGGCCTCAGCGAGGGGGACTTGCTGCTCATCTGGGAAAGGTACAGTTGGCGCCCGCTTTTAAGAAACGTCCATCTGGGGGGTCGAGGTTCGGTTTCTTGGTTCGTCTCTACCGTCGAGCGTAGGTTGTTATGTAGAGTTGAGTGGAGGATAATCCACGGCTGAGGTTTGATTCGTAAAGTAGTCGAAGTTTTGTGATTGATGGCCGAAATCTGAGCTTCTGTCTCTTGAGGTTTGTTTCTTAATCGCGGGAGCTAACAGCTGTATGTATTCCGCTCCGCTCTGTTTTTGCAAGCTGCGCTCGTGACTGTCTGTGCTCGCCGACTCAGGAAGAAAGACAGACATTTACCACCAACTCCTCGCTTTCCACATGCTGGGTGGTGATGTAAACCTTACCTGACACCACACTGGTACATTGTCACTTCTACGTCGTCGTTGCTGCCATAACTGTGGTTTGGAGTAATCCGCGACGAACGGCAGTTGCCCCAAGCTTCGCACCTCCAGTTATGTGTACTAGCTCCCTAATAACTTTTTTTCTCCTCTTTTCGGCTCTCTCTCTCTCTCCCCGTCTGTTTCTCTCTTCCTCTCAATCTCTCCTACTCTTCCTCTCGCGTTCTCTGCTGTCGTGGGACGTACAAAGCGCGGAGGAGGCGCTTGGCGTCGCGGACGGGTTGCTGGAGTCGCTCAAACTCGTCAATGCCGCCAGGTATGCGTATGTGTAGAGCAGTAGGCGTCGTTGTCTGTTTGGCGCAATGTTTTTACGTGTATGCGTACAGCAGTATTGCGTCGTCGTCTGTCCGTTCGCCGTATTGTTTTTTCGTCTACACAGCAGCTTTGGCTTTAGTGTGTGTGTGTTCTTGGCGTGTTTTCTCAGACCGTTGTAGTTTGAAGCACCCTGTGGCCTAGGTCTGTGAAAGCCTCTCCATATGTCCGCACACGCACACACACACACGCGCGCGCGCGCGCCAAGTGCACCGCTACCTGCTGTCGCCCTTGGAAAATATCGCAGCGGCCCTCCGAACAATACGTGTATCCCTCCCCCTCACAGGCATCGCCTTGCGGACACGAGGGCAGCCGTGGCGAGCGGCGACCCATCGCTCAGGTCCTCTGAGGGCATCATGCGCCTAATCGCGGCGGCCGTCATGTCCACGGCCAGAGCGCAACGGTATGTCGTATTGTGTACTTGCCGTCGAGTCTCGAACTGCCCGTCTGTGGCGGGGTAGCGGGGCGACACCTACTCCAAGGTGTTGCGGTGCGACCGTGCGAAAGGGGCGTTCGAAATTCTTTGTTGCCTTGAGAACATGGTTGTGAGAGGTGGTTTGTCAGGGGGTCAGGATTGACATGATCTCCGCACGCACGCATGTGTCAGATCGAGGAAATCAGACCGAACCCTGCCTTGCGCTCTTTTTGCAGCACAAGGTAACTGCTTTACCTCATTGTGTCACGGCCTACAGGAGGCGGCTTCTGGTAACTCGTCAGAGCGGAATTTTATTTGAAGGCGACAGCAACAACACCACCCCTTACGCTTCTTCGTGAAAATCTGACAAAATTGCATTGTGCTGGTCTTTTGTTGGACGCTTGAGACTACCATCATATGTACGGAACGAATCGAACGCACACACACACATCATCATGTAGGGAGTGGGTTACCTACCCTCTCGGCTCCAGTAGAACTGCTGTATCCGTGCTTTGGCGCGCGCGAGAGAGCGTTTGACAGCAATATGATTGTAGATCGCACGAACGATTTTTTATCATCTTTCACCGCCTAGCACATGACCACACGATGCCTCATAAACGCGAACTCCTAATTGCTCTTTTCGCGTAACTGACACAGGGAGGGTGCTGTCAAGCACCTGGCGGCTGCGGCAACGGCGGGCGGGAACTCTGTGACGTCACCAGCCGAAACGGCAGATCGGTGGCGGAGGGCGGCGATTTCGGCCGACGCAGACGTGGCGGCTGCCGTGCGGGAGGTGGAGAGGGTTACCGGCGAGCTTCGGGACAAGCACCGGCGCGAGGTGAACATTTATAACCCCCTTCGGTAGTGCATGTAAGAATTCCAGGCTCCGCATGTCAAGGTTTGGATGTTTAGGTTGGGCGTCGTCTTGTTTGCTCGCTTCGTATCCTTGCAGTCTCCCTCTCTGTTGCGTTCTGTTTCTGCATGAGTTGCGTGCGCCTGTTGTCCGCGACAGCGACATTGTGATTCGTTCACTGCTTTCCCCTGGTTATGTTGTCACCATCTGTGTTCTGTTGTCTTACCGTCGGGGAAGATTTTTTGTGCATTCTGTGCGGTCCAAGCCCGCCATGTTCTTGACTGACTTGGGGCATCGTCTCCAGAATAGAAATTGAGGAAACCAAGTTCATTAGCATGGATTTGGTTCAGATCTGATGTCTCGAACCTCGAGTGTTTGCGGCATGTTCCGTAAGCTCTGTCGCGACGCCATATTTTTGTTTGTTTCCGGAACAGGAGGAAGAGAAGGCCTGCAGGAAGGCACAGGAGGAGCGACGGGTACGAGAGGAGGAGGCGCAGAGGCTGGAGCGACAGGCCAGGTAATCCGCTTGTTCTTGCAGTCTGTGTGTTTTGGCGTTTTTGTTGGTGTCCACGTACCTCGGTACTTGACGCTTCTCGATCCAGTTTCCGTATATTCGCACTTGGCTGAACGTAGATTGGATCTTTGGTTTTGTCATACACGAAGGGTTTGGGCGTTCAATGCCTGAGCATGATACTTTGCGCATGGGAACAAGGTTTGGTTGTTATACGTGCCGCATGGGGCTTCGTTTTACGTGGTCGCGTTAACTTTTCAGAGTGACTCGCGGTTTCTACCTACGGACGGCGGTTTCGCCCATTCAGCTGAAGAGCTCCGATTCGGAGTCATCGCCCGGAATATCTCTATTTGCGGGTTTTTTACCGTAAACGTCGCCGGACATTGCACACCCCCAAGACCGACTTCTATAGATCCATTGCTCCACTACCAGGAGGGCGTCAAAGTCTACAAGGGTAACTTTGGACTTGTAGAGCTTCCCTTGCACGTGCCGGTCGGTTTTGGCACCCTTGTGTGTTCGGAGCAAGCGCGCTTTGAGCGTGGGTTTAGGGTGTGCGTGAAGTCAACGCTAGAATGTTGAAAGCAACGCAAGAAGGGTTCGGAATCTCCTTCGCTCAAGTGTACATGGACAAGTACTTCCATTCGCTCGCAAGCGAATCTTCGCGCTTCTTCCCATAAAAAATGAGCCGTGTCAACCGTTGATGTCACCACCACCCGAAGTGGACCCAACCGGAGCATGTCAGTCAAACAATTGCGAGCGTTGCACCGGTGTGACGGGGCCCTGCTGTTCCTCTTTTACGCCAACGGTCCCCCCCCCCTCCCCCCCTCCGGCAATGTGAGCCATCGGGGGTGGGTTGTCGTCGCTTGGCAACGACGTTGTAAAACAAGCCGCCCCCCCCGGTATTTGCTTTCGGGGTTGGGTTTCCGTCGCTTGGCAGCGATGTTATAAAACAAGCCGATCACTTCGTGAGCTCAGCAACCAGGTAACCGTTTGTTTTGCCTCTTCTTTTTGCGGTAACCATGAATGGTGGTCGAGCAGATTATGTTGTGCGGGTCGAGAACCCTCACTCCGCGCAAACGGGATGATCTCACTTTGTGTCAAAATGGTGAAGCACTCGAGGCAGATACACAGCGCTTATGACTGTCTCTGGAAGTGAAAGCCCCAGAAAACAAATTGAGTCATACGCAGCTGTCATCCGTACGCAAGGAAGTAAGCACAAGATGCCGAACACCCTTAGCAGGATGCAGCGCACCCCTCATGCGACTCGCCAAATACCTCACGACGCTTGACTATGAGTACCCCCACCCCTCCTCGCTCCCCTGGTGATGACAAAACCTCTTTCAACGACGGCACGGTACAGGGCTGCCGAGAGAGAGATTATCGAGAGAAGGCAGGCCGAGGCTAGGATATTGGCGATGGAACTACGCCGGAACGAGATGGCCGAGCAAGTCAGGAACAAGGTGTGTGCAAGCCTCGCTCGTGGTCGGATCTGTTGATTCTGTTGGATTCGCCACGAGGAGAGTGGGGTCGATCCGGAATGGTCGAGCAGGGGGCCAGTCACACGAAAGCATCCGCGTGCATCTCACACGCCGCGTGTTGAGTTGCGTCCCAAAACGTGGAGTTGTCGTCCACAGCGGTGGGGTTGAGTCGGGGGACATGCAATTGCATCAGGTGCAAAGTACGCACGGGAACACTCTGGTGCAGGGCAGCGAGCGGTGGTGACCGAGAGCTCTCTTGCTCTTATGGCTCCACACGCCTTGCATGTGCTGACCCCGAAGACTCTTTGAGCCCTGTCTGGATGACATTGATCATGTTTTGGGAGGTACCTTCCTACCGTCAGGCGCCCGTTGTTAGCCCACACCCAATCTCAGCGCACCCCATTCTCCAACTGAGTCGAACTTCCAAGCAAGCGGTCGTCTTTCGGGCCGTACCCGTGCGGGTTTCCCGAACACAGGCGGCGCGCAAGCGGCTTCAAGAGCAGTTCAGAGCCCAGCAAGCGGCACGAAACGCTGCCGGCAGGAAGAAGGATTCGGGGGGTTCGAAGAAGCATGCAGAGTCGCCGTCGATGGCGGACAGGTGGGTGGGCTAGTTTTTCGTGTTGCCATTTTTTGGTGTGTCGGTCCGTCGACTTCGTGAAGACGCTGTTTTGCGGAGTTCAGCGGTATTGTAGTTACCACTAAGGTGGGGCTTCCGGATAGTCTAGATATCCGTGGAGCCTCGACACCAGCAACCAACCAACCAACCTAAGAAATGCCACGAACAACTAAAGGTGGACTCTGGAAGAAGGCCTGGTGCAGGTCGCCGACGGCGGCAACCACAACAGCGGTACCCTTGCCCTGACGCCCGGCATCGCCGCCGCCGCTCCCGGCGCCGCGGCGGCGCCGTCGACAGTAGCGGGACCAGAATCTCCAGGCGGCAACAACAAAGGCGAAGAACGAGACAGTGCTAAGGTGTCACAAGCAGATGCCTTAGCTGCAGCTTCGACGGCAGTCGCAGCGACAGCGGTCGTGCCACGCGACCCGGGCGACGACCGCTGGGGCATGAACGACGGCGCCGCGGATCTAGCGGAGCGCGGGGTCGAGCTCGAGGGTGGAGGCGCGGGGTTGTACCTGCCGCCGCCGCCGGATTGGCCACCTGATGCGTCCCTCTTGCCGGATGGGGCAAAGGGGGGACGGCGGCGCCGCAAACGGGATCGCCAGGCCAGTGCAGAGAAAGAAGAGGTGGAGGTGAGCGACCGATGAAAATACAGTGCTTCTCTGTATTCTGGTCATCAAGGAAAAGAAACGTTGCGTTCTTTTCGTCGGATTCCGCAACCAAAGCTGTAGAAAAAAAATTGTGGTGCTGATACTCACGCCACAAAAGAGAGGGCAAGTTGTCCGTCTCTTCGCTAGTACCGGGTTGAACTTGCATCCTCGCCGTATATGACCTGCTAGGCGGGATTCTTCATCCTGAAGCACGGATTCAGAAGTGAGACCATAGGCCAGGCTCCAGACAGCTCAGCCGTTTCCCGTCACTCTCTTTTCATCGCCATATTCCCGCCACGTACTTGGACTCAACACGCGAAACGCACAGCAGTGGCTGGAGATGGTGTCGAAGCGTGTTCGCAGCAAGGTGGTGGGAGCGGCCCCCCCGGGAAGCTGGGGGGCAGCGAACGAGGACGACGGCAACGGTAATGCCGTTCCCATGGATGTTGTCGTAGGTGGTGGGAGTCTCAACGCTGATGGTGCGGTTCGGGTGGGTGGCAGCGAAGGCGGCGCAAATCGTGCACCAAATGGGGCCGGTTCTGCAACTGGTGCTGGCAGTGTTGGGGGCGGGGACGTGGAAGCGGAACTTCGACAACGATTGCTGGCGGCGATGATGAGCAGGTCGAAATCAAAATCGAGATCGAGGTTGAGCGGCGACGAGAACCCGAGCGTTGTCCCTGCCGGTGCCACAGCCGCCACCGCTGCTTCTGCTGAGAAGCCACGGGGGTAAATGAACGCGCTGCAAACTGATCGCACGCATGGCGTAGCACATGGGTCTGAATGCCCTGCGGTCCATGTGTACCTCTTTGGTTAGAAAGTTGTAGTAGCTCGGAGTGGGCAAACGCGTGTAGAAGAGCCATTGCCTATGCATGTAGGAGGAATGCTTCATGCGTGCGGCTCATCTGTGATATCTGCATACCACGGAACATGATAAGTTCGGTTGCCCTCACTTTGGCCTGATCGGGGCTCGGTTTGCATGCCGAACTGGACGGGCATCCTGGGAATCAACTGCCTCGGAGCGTGGTTGCGAGAGGTGCGTCGGGGATCACCCAGCGTGCTGTCGAGTAAGATAAGAATCGAAAGAAAAACAGAACCAAGTTTATAGCGGGCCGAGCGGCGGCATGCCCTAGCAGATCAACTTGCCGCTTGCGTTGGTGTGTGAGAAACGAAAAAGCATAAACACAGCAAGCCGAAGCTGTAAACCGTAGACTTCCCCTTGTCATGGTGCCGTCGTTTGACTGTATACAAGATGAACTTTGGACTCGGAGCCGCCTTGTGAATGAGCCAATCAATGGTGGCGGCAATGGGGTGTCGAGGAACCAAAGACCGGTTACCATCGCCCTGGTAGGCACGACAAGCACTAACCTTGTCAACCGCGTTGTCCAGATGGAGAACGTTGCAGATTTGGAATTTTTTTCCAGCCAATTGAGAGGGCAAAAAAGGCTGCTTCGTACTTCGTACTTTTGTGCCTTGGGCGGCACTGTCAAGTCAACTCATATTTATTTGGAACACTTGGCCCAACTTTACTTCCACGAACAATTTTTAAGACTGGACAGGTACAACTCCAAGGTAAATTAATTGCACATAGCGAGCGGATGCTCTTGCGCGCGCGAAAGCAACGGTGGTAGAAACGGAATGTTCTCTCAAGACACCATCACTGTTATTACCACGTCCTCCCACAAAATATAGAACCAAGTTCGCTTTTTCAATGATGTTGGTAGATTCCCCTTGAATTACTCTATATGCCAAACAACTGCCGAATTGCTTCCTACCAATATTTGTTTTTGAATACCTCCGCATGTCGACCACAACCATCGCAAAATCCGCTTACAACTTTTCAGTGCTCTTCTCAGACTTGCTAAACAGGCCGGAAACACGAAAAAAAAAACGCAACAAAATTGAGCCAAGGGACGGCGCCAGCGTAGAGGAATCGGCGCCACAAGCGTTGCACCTGTCAGCAAGGCCTTGGCAGAACAATATTCTACGCAAATTGGACGAACACAGCATGTGTAGTCACAGCACAACACGGGTCCCATCACCACACGGGGGTATCCGAAGCAGTTCCACCCGTCTCCCCACTCCTCAAGGAAAAACGACGAGACAAACACGAGTTTCAGGTCGTTTCGAAGACACGCGTGGGACGAAAAGCAACAGGCTACAAGCCACCAAACGCGACGCGACTGGCACGGTTGGTTGCAGGGAGCGTCGTGGGTCTGAGATATAGTCGCCCACCCTATGAACAACCTGACGGATAACACGCAAGATACACAAAACAAAAAAAAAGTTCCAAAATCGTATTTTTCGCGGCAAAGCCGCGATTTTTTTCGAGCGAAAACCAAAGGCATCATCACCGAAACACACCAAAGCACACACCTCTCGACCGCAGGTATCTACGCGCTTGCCTCACACTCGGATTAAATATGGATACTTCCTGTGCTGTTATTCGATAAATCTTTTTCTGTTGGCCCACCACTTTTCCGAGTGTAGGTGATGGATCCTACCCTTCCTTGGCTCTGTTCTACTTTACCCCATCCCTACACCTTATCCTTCTGGGTTTGGATTCAAAATACTGCAGTTCTCAATTCCATGTTCACGTTTTCAAACGCAGCGGTGAGTATTTCTTACGGGATTACTTTTTCGCTAACAGCACGCCGCACTAGACAAGATAATTTTCTGCGTTTGAAGTGACTGGGAGAAGCAGCATAAGAAAAAACAAATGTTTGGAATACGAAGGACGACACATAACAACACCCCCAGTGCCCTTGTCTCAAGTGGTTAACGGCGGCCACCCATACCAACGAAACGACACAAACAAACGAGGCTGCAGCGTCCCACACGTTGCACCTGGGACACCTGACCCCACGACTTGTGCACGCACCCATACAGTACACCCCCACACTAGGCACGTGTGAAGAACACACCACCCTAGGAGACATCAAACGAATGCCTCCGAACTCGAGTTTTCTTGCTCTGTTATTCGAAACGCACCCACCGCCTCAAAGGACTTCGTCTTCCGCCTCGCCGAGCCTTCGCTCCCGCCTGGGCTTGACATGAGAGCTTGTTTCACAGGTCCAGTGGCACCATACGATCCGGCGACGGCGGCAGGCCCGCTACCCGACTCGTCACCGCTTCCCCCCGGTCCTACTGGCTTTGCCAGGGCTTCAGAGTTGAATAGTTTCCAGCCTAGAGCCGAAATTGCGGCCATGACCCCGGCGGAAAAGTAGAAGACGAAGCGGTAGTCCACCCAGCCCTGCGCGGGAGGGGATATCGACCACGCGAACATATTCGAGTAGCTCGCCGGACCGAGGAAGCGGCCGAGGCTCTCCGACGTCATAAAGAGCCCGCTGAGCTTACCGCGCTGGTGCTGCGGAACCATGGTCGTCGACGCCACTGTCAACGGGAGCATGATCTGTGGTCGAAGCAGGGCGACGGAGGAGAGAGGGCGGGCCCCGTGGTATACAGAGGGGGGGGGGGGGGGGGGGGGGGG